GCTTCAAAGCTCTAGCTTGGAGCCCTATGTCTCACTGAGAACGTAAAGGAATAGAACAATCTTATGTTAGAAAATTCAACGCATATGAGATAAGGCTTTAAAAATCGATCTAGACCTAGATTTTGTTCACAGAAACTCTTGCCAGTGAGGCGTATCTATGATCTTGGCAAACATTTTTGTATAAGGTGATCATACTGCATACTCCATCCATCAATACTGAGAACTAACCAACATTCATGTACACTTTCCACTCATACTAAATAACCGGCTATCAGCTTACTAGCATAGTGATTCATTCATTGTTGAGTGATATGGATTTCAGTAATTGTTGAACAATAGGGGTTCAGAATAGAAATTCAATAATTTCCTCTTACCTGAAACTTTTTAGTACATGCCACTTTTTAGAGGCCCTTTCTAATGAGTGATGGAACCTAACTTATTGCAAAGTGAGGAACTTCTGCTCCTAATATTGAGTAAATTATTATCATATTAATGCATAATGAGGTCTAAATATGTTAAAAACAATGAAGAAACATCACAGTCATATTCAAAAATTGTGTGACAATCTTTAGCGGGTAAAACAGACTATCCTCTACGATCCTTTTAGCTAAGAGTATTGAGCATTAGCTGTTAGAAGAACGATACAGCAGTCAGACAAAGTTACGAGAAATAAATATATATTTTCAAGGGTTAATTTGTAAGGATTAGATTAGTTTTTTGAGTCAAACCACGAACCGATATCAGTTAGAGAACGGGTGAAAACTAGGGAATACTAAACAGCTGTTTCATCCCAGTTTGAGAATCATCAGTAGTACGCACCCACCAGCAGGGTTCGAAACCAGAAACCTCCAGTTACAAAGCAAGCTCTTATAACATTCAGCTACTGGGACCCGATGAATTCTAACTTCTACCAATTCGTGATTTTAGCGCAACCATCAACCAATGTCATCAGAGGAAAATCTATCCTCACACCTGGTTGGATGGACCTCGCTGGTCACGACTTCTCATCAGAACTCTAAGACACTCTGTCCTGTAGCAAGTCACTAGAGAGCATTAGATTAATTTTCAAGAGTTGTTTTGTAAGGATAAGATTTGTTTTTCGAGTTCCAGTGGCTGAATGGCATACGAGCTTGCCTTATAGCCGGAAGGTTCAATGTTCGAACCCAGGCAGTGGGTGCATACTGTCGATGATTCCTAAACTAGAATGAAACAGCTATCCGGTAATCCGTGGTTCTCTAAATGACATCAGTTCGTGGTCAAACTAGAAGAAAAAAATATATACCTCATTTGAAAAGGTTTAGCTTTTTCTGTATTCAAAATTTTGAGAGTTCATATTTTCAATGAACAAAGTGAGACAAAGTGGAATGTTGTATATCCAGCTGTATATTTTTATATTAATATCCTAGACATTTTTACTTTTGTCTTCCCCTCATATAACTGACTTCCTTATCAGTTTCTTTACCAGGTGGCAGTGAAGGGAAAAGATTACACATTCCATCTGAAAAAAACAAAACTAAATTTATTATGAAATGTAATGCATCTGGTTAAATAAACTATGCACTTGTCCTTCTTTCTATAGACTAAACATGGTGAAATGGGGTGACCATTAAACGGTTAGTACTCTCTGTTAGATAATTAGATGATGCTACTATCCCGGCACACACACACACAGCCAGTGTTATATCGCGTAGGTGAAGCCTTAAGCATCGTCCAAAGGGTTTAGAAACCGAAATATTGTTAATATTTAGCCATCGTTTGCAATTTCACTTTGTTGTTCTTTGCATTCTGTGTGGAACATACAACTTCAAGCTTTGATGTTTCAGAAGGGACGAGGCTGCTGGAAATGCAACCAACCTTACCTCTTTTCTGGGCCTAATCCTGGTTGGAGATCGAACGTGGACCTCCCGTATGTCAGGGGGACATTCTACGGTTGAACCAAAGATGCACTTGCAATTTCAGAAAAATAAACTAATTACATCTAAAAAGATTTTCATTTTCAACAAAAGATGTAGCATTTTATCTCATAATCAACTAAAGTGAATCTTTGGTTATTATAATAGCGTTTTATATTTAAACAGCCAATCAGGTTTATGCTTAAACAGTAAATTAATATAATTACAGCCATTCGCAAAAGGCTTTGCTCACGGTATGAACCTATTCCATAGAATACTATAATTGTTTAGTTAGCTAGAAGTGATTAAAATTAAATATTTTTATTTTTGATTACAGCTTGATTCCACACCGTATTTTTGGTACAAGTATGGAATTTTCAGCATGGATATCGGTAGCCCAAATTTTGCAGGCCGACTATAGATATCAGGTGTGCGTCGGCAGGGGATCGAACCTCGAACCATGTGCATGGTCGGCGAGAGTCCTAACCACTGTTGAAGTATACGTTTTCATTGCTTCAGCTACACATCAACACGTTCTGGTGGAACCAGAAGTCAGTACGAAAGATTATATGCTCGTACTACCAAGCACAGAAACTCAACGATACCATATTTGGCCCGTATTCTATTTGACAGAAACAATGTAAAGCATCAAACTTATGAATTACTATGTTATTGGCTAAATAATTGGCACTTTTATTATCTGCTATTTGTAATCTATGATGACACTACTTCAATAAACTGACTATCTTAGCTACTAACCTTATTATTATTTACATTTTGTTTTGTATACATATGACTTCACTTTCACTACTAATACCAAATAAGAACTGTCATTAACAATCCTGTTATATTATCTTTATAATTGTTTTCTACGTTATTCGATAAAATTAGAAGCAATGCTGTACCAAATGCTGAAAATTCCACACAGTAACATTAGTACTGTTTTGGAATAAAGCAAATTATTATTATTATTATTAAAAACAAACAAAGATTTGGGAAACCCCTTGCTTTTTTTCAACTTAATCCTACTGATGTTCTTCCCAGTTAATTTCCTTCCCTTCGCTGCGTAACATCCATTATTATTAGTAATATTAGTAGTATAACTGTAGCTTAAACATTTTAACAGCATATAACGCGCTCTGAACATCTTAATATCAATACCTTCCTTATAAAAACATTTAAATGCCCGGGAATCGTTTCGATCCTGTAAATGTTAAATGTTAGATGACTGAAATGCAAAGGTAATTTAAGTGAAGACACTGACTCACATAATCTCTTTTGGTGAAGTTTACTCATTCAGGTGATAATTGACCGACTGAAGACATTCAATCATTTGTCAGCTTGTCTCATTTACTGGGACCAACATGCAAATTCAACTGTTTGAAAACTCTGACTGAGATGCTTGAAAAAATACAAACTGATATCACCTGGAGAAGCGATTGAAAGCCATGAGGACTCTAGACAAACTCGTATACTCAAATTAGAGGATGAAACACCCCTTAACTCCACCTCTACGTGTATATACTGTTTCACATGCTGTTTTTGAGGTGATTACATCGAATAATCTAAGTCAGTACTTCGAAAAAAGCATAAACAAACATTATCAAGTTTGTTTGACAAGAGCGAAAAATATAAATGCTTAATCTTCTATTTTCGAACATCTCAGTTCAGGTCATTTAGCTCCACTCTTGCAGTCTGTGTTTACTTACATCTCTCATGCATAATGGCTGAAGCACTGGTCATGCGTAAAAAAAATACTCAACTTTGTACTCGAAACTAGTTTGCTAAACTTCCTTTTTTTGCCTTTATCCTAATAACGTTCTTCCCGGTTAATTTCATTTCTCTTCACTTCATCTTACCTATTATTATTAATACTATTATTGCGGTTTCAAGTTTTTGACGGAACTGGAATCTATTGTAAACCTCTTAATATCCATTACATTCTTAATAACCTTTTATTAACAGCTGTCTTCTCTAGCTCCTTACTGAAGATCAAATGAGCAGAAAGAAGCAGCAGCAAGAAACGCTGTTTGGGAACAAACCAACCAAGGGTCGATTGCTCAACAAATATGTTGGAGAAAGTGGAGATGGATCAGGCGTACACCAGTGAGGAGGCCGTCGAAAGATATCGTACATCAGGCCATTCCTCAAGTGGAATTGAAATGGGAAGCGGCGAGTGGAACATGAGACGGAGTTCGTGCGAAGAGGAGATAAGAGATTATGGACAGTCGCAGACCCAGATGAAGAGGACGGCATAAAATAGAACAAAGTAGAGATGTGCTGTTGAAGCTCAATGTTCCATTTGGAACAAGAGAATAATAATAATAACTTTTTTAGTATTTTGTTCGCTTCAGTTGTATCCAGCTAACTATATTATTATTATTATTCCCTTGGGTTCCTAGTGGAACATAGGGCTTCAACTGCATCTCTCCACTTGTTTCTATCTTTGGTGTGCTTTTCACCTGCATCCCTGTTAGTGCATACTGTTTCAACTCCTCCTCTTCACACGATCTCCTCCATGTCACCCTTCCACTGACGTCCCACTCGCCACTTCCCTCTCGGATTTCACTCGAGCAATGGCCTAACGCGCTCGCAATGTCACCCGGCGGTCCCCTCAGCGAGTGTCCAATCCATCTCCACTTTTTCCTGCATATTTATTGGGCGATTGATTCCTGTTTTGTTTGTTCCCATAGTTTCTTGTTGGTGATTCTTTCCGGCCCGGCCATCTGATCTTCAGTACAGATCCAGCGAAGCCAGTTGTTAACAAAAGTCTGCTAACTATCGTGTCAATTAATTTTCATCATAGATTTATCATACTAATGGATGACGAATTTTAGTGCGACTGAATGCCTTTTAAGGTAATATAAATAAGACTGTGCAACTTCGAAATGAAATAGTAAATGAATACTTTTCTGTCGAATAACTATATGTGTATATATAGGAGTGCAATGAAAACATCGTTTTAAATCAACACAGTTAAAAACTGAAGAGAGAAGGAACGGAAGTCAGCAAAAATATAAAAAAAAAACATTTGTTATATTTTCTTACGGCGTTAAAGATCATTATATATATATATATATATATATATATATATATATATATATATATAGAGAGAGAGAGAGAGAGAGAGAGAGAGAGAGAGATCTGAAAGAATGGAGAAACAAGTCATTGATGAACAATCTTCCACTTATCAAAATGTAAGACTTTATTTATATTCCTGATATGTATAAATATAAGGATAGAAGCGGGAGGGGGTGATATAAAGTTATCAAACAAACGGAAATCAGAGAAAAGAATTAATATCTCAAAAATAAAATGATATAATTAACTAATACGATTGTGTTATACACAGAGATGCTCCCCATCTTATCACATTTTGGTATGCATGTATGTATGTATTGTATGTCTCTGAATAAAACACCAAAAAAAGAATAGAAGAACAAGAACAAGAAGAAAATACTTTTTATGATAAATCGGAAAACAAATTTACATTCTAAGCATTAGAAACACACTTTTCTTTTAAAATTGCATAAACAGATAAGTAAAAAAAGTCATACTGATATTGTCAGTAAGCATTCGACATACATGTAAAGAAGTATTTTATAATAATAGGGGTAAAAAAAGAAAATCTTTACACATATGTGATGAGAAGGACAACAGGGATGAAAGTCCTTGTAGATTTTTGTAACACAAGTATGCACAGACAATTTTTCTGGAGCTGGATCAATAATAATAATACTGTTAAGCAGTGGAACTGTATTATTATTATTATCATCACTATACAATGAAGAGTTTACACAATTAACTTACTTTAATTTACATCCAAACGATCAAAACTTAAAAACAACAGTGTCATGAATTCGAGGCGGAGTGATGAAAGAGGAATAAAAGGAAATAAATAAAGATAGAAAGACGAAGAGGTGTGCTAATCTATTTTTCTCAAGTATATACTCATATACATTAAATATTCTTTGATAATGTATACAGAAGATAAAGTGAGAAAGTACAAATAAATCAATAAATAAATACATATTCTTGCATTTTGTACAGAAGAACAAATTAGGCGATATTATGTAACACTTCGGCGGAGACGATTAGCTAATCGACGTAATTCTGCTTCAGGTAGAGAATTTTCAAAATTACTGAAAAACCGTAAAATGTCTTCATCAGGACGGAATGAATAACGGCTATATGAGAAAAGTAATTAAAAAAAAAACACGAGATAGTAAAAGCGTCTTAGTTTATGTACATAACACATGTACATATAGTGTATGCATATATACCTTAGTATATGTGTGGTCTGGAGTAAAAACAAACATATTTTCGTCAATTATAATCTTTTTTAGAATACATCAATTGGTTTCATTTAATAAAGGTACACGACTATATATACAGAACAGATGATGCGAACTTTGCTAATGTACAAGTTATATGAATCGTGGGAATTATTTATTTTCTTGTTGATGAATATACAAGGGAATATATACAACGTCCTACTAGCCAGAAATCAGTGTGTCTCGCATTGATACAATCGTGATAGGAAAGTAGGCTAATCCACAGCACAGTGTTAATTTCTATAGTAAATAATAATAAAAGGTCGACAGGTTCCCTTCCCGTGTTAACTTTGTGTATACAAATTTGCATGCATCGGTGGTACGAGTTACATTAGAAGAACCACACATCGTAGATTTTTCGACCAGGTACCAAGATGCCTACGTCCCAAGGAAGGAAAATAATTTCAGTGTGCTGTTATTGCCAGGTGTCTTGTTGATACGGGTCATGAGGTGAATCTACTGAAATCCATTAAGATAATCAGTAAAGAATATAAATTCAATCCATCACAGCAATTGCTGTTAAACGTCTAAACCCCAACTATTGTGTTCAGCTATCAACCTTCATTTGTTCTGTTAACTGTATTTTTCTATCGACTCCTTTTATTTGACTACGCAGTATTTTGCTTTAACCTCGCCCCTTTTAGATGCTTGTTTTCTGTTACTGTTTCTTGAATTGAACTCATACCATTATTATGCAGCTCATTAGTTACTTATCGCTAACTTATTCGTCTTTTGTCTTTCTTACTCAGCTCCTTATACATAAAAGAACCTAAATTCCTTTTAGACAGTTAACTTGCAACTCCTGAATATATACATATGCATAACTTATGAGTACAAATTATATTGTGTAGTGTCCTTTTAACTGACATCATATCCTGCTTGCAAATACGTTGCAAAATTTATCTGTATACATACTGAATAAGAGTTTTTTTTAGGTTGTATATGGTTGACGAGAAACCGACGAAATAAAATGATGTAATCATATTCAGCACATACCGAAAGTTATGCTTTATGTGCGTCGGTGGCACCGCAGTTAGAACGCTCGCCCACCATGCACATGGTCCGAGGTTCGATCCCCGACCAACGCACACCTTTACCTCACTAAGGCAGAAATAAAGCTGGTAAACAGGAAAGGTTGTGCATGAGGCTAGCAACCCCATCCTGTAGAAATAAACACTGCTACAAAAACTTCAAACCTCTAGCTTGAGGCACTATGTTCCACTGGGAACGTGAAGGAATTAATAATAATAAATAATACATTTAGAAATGGGGATAAGTGTATGAAAGTAACCGACTGATTCTGTAGTAGATGTCAAGAAAGCCTGGGTTTTCTACTCATTTGTAATGAGCCCAAATAGCTCAGTGGCAACGTCTCTGACCATAGTACTGGGTAATGCAACTTCCAATCTTCGAGGGGAGATGAGTCCCTTCAAAGTCTACAGATACGTTTTGCTGAAGAGTGCCAACAAGGAAAAAGCGTAGGTCCAGGGTTTCCAACCAATTGCCTCTAATAATCTGATATCAGTTTGAAGTGAACCACCACCGTGACCAACCTAGCTTGATAACCACATTGTGAAATTGACTGAGAGAGTCGAGTCTGCGCCAACACTAGGGACTAGAAGCTTGATACTGATGACACCTTATGGGCAAGTCGTTGGAAGGGTTTCCGGCTACACTTGCTGTCCATAGCAGAAGCTCTTGCTACACAAAACTGTGCATACAGAAGCAGTTTATCCGATCTCTTTTACTATCACGGCCTTAAACTTTTTTTATTTAACTCGTACTATAACTTCGTATGCTAGTCATAATCATTCGGTTTTTCATCTTCCTCGTATTCGTTCCTTTCAAACTCCTGACTTTAAAATATACTTTACAAATATTATGAATCTCTTACTCGTTAGAACACAGTTCCTGTTTTTATGCGCTTGTAACTGAGTGGTGTTCACCAATTATTGTTTTAGATAACGTAATTTATTATTTTGCTTGATATGTAAATCCATATGTTTCGTCACCAACTGATAGGCAATTTTCCCTGACCTTTTACAACACTGCATAACCGTACAGCTTTTAAGTGAAGTTACGAAGAGAATAATTTTTGCCGACCTATGTCTTTTTGAATAAAGTTTTATTTTTTAAGGACAATAACCCATAGGTTTTATGGTAGTTGCAGAAACACTTTATTATCTACGAAATCCAAATTAGTATTCTACACAAATTGATTGCAGAAACGGGCATGTTATGACTAACACTTGGAGTTTTACAGTATTTATTCATTTCCATAAACTTATGAAATAAATCCCTTATGTGTGACAAGTATTGACTGGCGTCTTCAAAACAGGTTAATGGGGATTGTGTAAATTCAATTAAATGACAAGATAATGGATAGATACTTTGACTCAGCAATAAACACTGACGAATTCATAAGGTAGTGGAACTCAAAGCTTTTCTGTGTATCACCATTCATCGACCGGAAGGCAAAGGTGAATATTTCAAAATTTCCAAATAGCATTAAGCCATCACGAATATATGATAAATGCACCAAATGAAGAATAGGGATAACGAGAAGGCTCTGTAAGTGGAGTCCAACATAGTGACTATAAGAGAAAAAGAGCTTAGCAAACTGAGAGTCGTGTGCCTAACTAAGTGTACAACTTTAAAATCTCAAACTACAGAAAAAAAATTATTAAACACTAATTGTTTTATGATTGTTGCCAGTTCATCTATAAGGAGATACCTTTAAGCCTAAGTGACAGTCAGACATCACTTCAATGAGTATTGAGGCGTTGAAAGTATTCCATTTAATTTCTATGCAATTTATTTGTATGCTATATTATATAACCTAAGGGCTTTATCTTTGAATTCCCCTGGATATAAGCCATATACGTCGCATACTGGTTATATAAAACTAATTGATATAGGATTCCTAATCTAAACTATACACCTTTTGATTATTTATGAATTTTTCCAGGAAAATATCACTGAATGTCATAAACGCAGGCATTTATTAGAACTTCTGGGATATAGTTTACTCGGTTACTGAGGTTTAGCACCCTAAATTAAAGCAAACATTTAAAACTCACGACTTTTCTGGATCCATTTTCTCTTGTTTTACAAAAAAATGTATGATAAGAAAATGTTTCCAACATCTCCAAAAATTTATTATTGGCCCATGACATGATTGATATCTATCGGACAGTTGGACAGGAGGAGTTTTATAATACAGTGGATTACCTTGAGCTAAAACGACTAAATTTTGAAGCATTAAACCAAGATAAGGGATGAAAGGAGGATTAGCTGCTTCTAGATCATGACGATATTTTGAAAAATAAGGAGGTTGCATGTATGGCGTAATGCGACTGAGACGCTACAAAGAAGAGGAGAAAGAAAGTCTGAGTCAGAATATAAAAGAATCTGTTTTCTTTTAAAAAGAATTTCATCGTTTACGCACCAAGAGTACAGTGACTTTAAGTATGTAACGTTACAACCCAAACCGACTTGTTTTGCTCTGAACGCAGGAAACCAATCTCTGCGTCCTACTGTATAACTGACAAAACTTCCTTCAGATGAGAACAGCCACAAAACACTCAAAAACAGTAAGAAAGACAGTTATTTGTTGCTGGAATCTGTGCTCCTATTCAACAATAATAACATCGAAAACTCAAAACTACCTCAACAGTATCGCTAGGGAGCTTTACAATCAAGAGAAAATTCTAGGTACAAAACAAGTATTGTAGAACAAAATTAGTTAACCAGATCCAACTGTGAGCAGTAACTTAAAATCGAGTGGAATATTCCTAACAAGGTGGAATAAAAACTCTGTTCAGAAGATTCACCCACCAACAATTCCCCCACACAGCCCCAATTTCAGAATCACCGTGGTTCACTCAAACAAAATCTCATCACGAAACAACTCGTTATCAATGTATCACACAAATACAAGGAAGAGCAAACCAGTCAGAGATTAAACAGTGACAAAGACAAATAAAAGGGATCAAGTCAACATATGATATGCAAATGACAAAACAATTTTCCGCAGTCCAGAAGAAAAAAGTTCGTTGAAACCAGTAATAAAACTGGTAAAGAGAGAAGGTTGAGCATGAGACTAGCGACCTCATCCCGTAAACATAAACACAACTGCTACCATAAACTTCAAAGCTCTAGCTTGAAGCCTTATGTTTCACTGGGAATGTAAAGGGAAAAAATGTTCAGTTGACTGAAACTAAATGGTAAATTGCTAAGTTATTCAAAAGACATACGATTTTATGAGTGAGGTAGCATTTGGATATGTTTATTCTAATTCATTTGAACAGTCTATGTTAATGTCTTATGACGTCAATTCACATTCAGGTGTTGCATTAGCACAGCTGCATGTCAATGCTCCCAGCAATTAATCTCATACAAAACTGTCCGATAATATATTTATTTGTAAATAAAAAGTTGGTCAGACTCTCACGTGCTGTATCTGCCTGGTTTTTAGAATATTGGCATGCTTTGAGGACAAAAAATGGCTTGTTTTACAGAAGACAGACACAAATGAAATACAACCGCAAATACTACAATGCATTGGTGGAATAGAAACTTTTCAACCACAAAATGGGATATTGTAAACAGAATCAGTATATAGTGGCATCTCGTTGAGATGTTCGACATATGGCGAAACCATCTTACAGTACTCTCCGGTGTTTTTGTACTTCTCAAGTGGATTTCTTCTTTTGGTAAAAATAATTTGAAGCCAATTAGTCGCTAGGTAACCAAGTTTTAAAGTAATCTTTACTACCAAAGGAAACTGAGTAAAAAAAAAGTGGGGAAAAGAACTTACACTTCGCGTTTTCTTGGAGAATAAGACATCTGGTATGAGGAGAAATGCACAAAGTAGGGATAAGTAAGTACTGAAGTTCTGAAGTTTGTACAAATGCTAAAAGAAAAAGAGTAAAACAACAACAATAATACCAAAATGGATTAGTCATATGAGAATTGAAAAGCCTGCGATACGTATGGAGAATGTTACACAAATAGCTTAGAAATGTATCTCGTTTTCTCAATGAAAATTCATCTCTTTTAATATGTTAGGGATGATGTTCTCGTAAAGCATCTTAAATGAACTCATGGAAAAGATAAATCAGTCACCTTCAAGGAAAGATGAGTAGCTCATCACGATAAAAACAGCTGTTGCAAAGTGAATAAAAGAAGACAGTAGCCAACTTACTTCCATAACATCCATTAAACGATTTGCAACTTTATCGCGATCTGATGTATTGGACAGACATAAAATTTGATAGGTGGCCCAGTTTGACACAGCTGTGAAATGACGTGCACAGGCAGCTACACCAGGTGCTTTACCCCGTTCTAATTTGGTAATATCAAGTAGCTCTGTAACCTAAAAAATAAGAAGAAACCAATGACCAGAAATGCTTCAGTGGGAGTTTATAATTTTATTTGCATAAGATACTTAAAATAAGTTAGAAAATCCAACTATGAAAAATTTCTATACATTGAGAAGCGTTATACCAATAAAAATAAAGTTAGTGAAGATAATACATGAAAGAGATTAAAATGAAAGGAGGGAAGATACATCAGTTAACTTAGTTATACGCAAGGGTGGAAAGTTAGCAAATTTCGGTGTCATTCGGACACCCAACAAAAGGAGATTAGGCCATTTAGCTCTTGTGATTTGTCTTTAAAAGTCATCCACAGGGCGAGATGCAGTCACTTTAAAAGTCTACGTTTACTTACATCTCTTTTAATCTTTTTTCATTGATGAATTCATTTGTAACTTTTTAGGCATTTCATTCACTTCAATTTTATCCGGCTCCTCGTCATGTCAGCTAATTTTTAGCATATGTGTGCCGGAGATTTCGCAGATGATTTATGTTTAGTATTACACAGACTCTACAGGCGGAACTGACGAGGATATCAAAGAAAGAATCGGGAAAGTAAGACAAGCTTTTTAGTCTGTGTGGAGGTCAACAGCCCCACTCAGCATCAAAAATAAGATCCAGATTTTCAACTCCAATGTGAAGTCAGTCAGTGCTACAGTACGATTCAGAGACTTGGCTAGCGCGTCATGAAGAGCATCTCAAACAAACTACACACCTTCATTAACAGTTGTCTTCGCTCAATACTCAAGATCAGATGCCCAGAAAAGATCAGTGACAGAGATCTCTGGGAGCGAACCAACCAGGAACCGATTGCGAAACAAATAGGTCAGAAAAAATGGAGATGGATTGGCCATACACTGAGGAAACCATCAAGTGACATCACTAGACAAGCCATTGCTCGAGTGGAACCCGAAAGGGAAGCGGTGAGTTGGTCGTCAGTGAAAGGGTGGGGAGACTTGGAGGAGGTCATATGAATAGGAGATGCAAGGATATGGGCAGACCTGGAGCCAGGTGAAATGGCGAAGAAGCGAACGCAATGAAGACGGGCGGCTGAAGCCCTATGTACCTCTAGGAATTAAAGGAAATAATAATAATAATAATCACACAGACTTGAAGACTAGAAGAAGAAAACCAGCAAACTGGCTTAAGAAACAGGCAGCGAAGACGGGACCCCAGGTGAACACAGAGAAAACGGAGGTCATGAAGATAACCAACCAACAGCGACAACAAACAGCACCAATCGCTATCAACGGGAGAAATTTGAAAGATGTCACTTCCTTCACTTATCTAGGTATGAAGCATCGTTTCAACTATAGGTGGAACGGATGAAGATGCCAACGCCAGCTAAAATTGGAAAGGCAGGATACACTTTCATCAGCATGAAATCAGTTTGGAAATCTTCTGCACTCAGTATACACGCCAACATGAAGTCAGCTATCTTCTCTATATGGGTTAGGAACTTGGTACCCACGTCACAAAAGGCATTTCCAACAGGCCACTGCAGATTTTTATCAACAGCGCCCCCCCCCGTGATGCCTCCATGCTGAAGATCATATGGCCGGTCAGAAAGAATTAGCAACAAGAAATTAAGGGAACAAACTAACCAAGAACCTGTTATTAAAGAAATATGTAGAAGAGAATGGAGATGGAATGGGTATATGATGAGGAGACAGTCGAATGACATCGAGCGCGATGTAGGCCATCGCTAGAGTGTAGTCCGAATAGAAAACGACGAGTTGGGCTGTGATCTGAGGGTGACAAGAGGAAGATCGTTCGAAGAGGAGATGAGAGATTGTGAGCAATCATGGGCTTAACTAAAGAGGATAGCGGAAAATAGAACAAAGTGAAGATTTGTTTTTGTAGCCGTATGTTCCGCTCGGAACCCAAGGAAAAATAATAATATGTGTGCCGGATGAAGCATTTTAATGCTATTTAAAGTTTTATGTAAGATAAATGTTCATGTAAATGAAGGTGTTGAAAATAAGTAGTTATCGTGAAAAACCAATCTGGAAATCTTCGTCACTCAGCATCAACAACAAAATCCAATCGAATTTTCAATACAAACGTCAAGTCATTTCTTCTATACGGATCAGAAACTTCGCGGGCGGGTCCCAAAGAATATTTCCAACAGCCTACTGCAGACCTTCATCAACAACTGTCTTCGCTCTATACTGAAGACCAGATGGCCGGGTCGGAAAGAATCACCAACAAGAAACTATGGCTGGGAACAAACAAACAAGACAAGAACCAATCACCAACCAACAAATATGCAGAAGAAAGTGGAGATGGATTGGACACTCGCTGGGGAAGCCACTGGGTGACATCGCGCGCGCGTCAGTCCATTGCTCGAAAGGGTTTTGAAATCCAACGCAAAATCTTATTCATAAACGTTCAAATTAATTTCAACAACAATAGCAACATATTTTATCCTACCTCAATTTTATAATAGTTTACGCACTCCAAATAGGTGAATTGTTCAGCTAAGGCTTTAGCTGAAAAATTCAAAATTCCTTGACCATTTTTCAATGAGTTCTGTAATAATCTTTTGTAAGTAAGCGCAGGTGCAACTACAGAATTGGAATGATCATTTCCAGTGGATTCAACCAGAGAATACCGAGCAAAGCTTTCAAGGGGTTGAGAATGTCTCGGTTTGGTCTTTGGAAAGGTAATGAAGCCAGCATCTTTATCATATTCAAGATAATTATGATTGGATTCAAGTGGTGTAATATCACCTAATGATGGAACACGAATATGCGTAGCAGGTGAGTTAGATCTCAGAACACTATTATTGACGTTATTTGAATTTGCACTGGAATGAAGCTGATATTTTTCTTGCGTCTGTCGACGAACTGTAATTTGTAATATCCGACTTAATGAATCATATCCATCTTGTGAAAGAGTTTTTACAAAATTTTCAAGGATTTTAAGTAATGCATCATTCAATTCTCCTTTCAGTCGTGAAACCTAATTAGAAATTGAAAAAATGAAATGGAAATCTTAGATATCAAATGAGTAGAAATAGTTCTAATTATAAATGGACTTCATCAAATTCACAGCTTTCATTTTACACAGTTCGAGGAGGTAAAATTACACTACAGTTTCCTTTGAAAGCCAAGATGATTCAGATCTCAATATGTGACCTGCTTGATATCACAAATGATCGAGAAAACGAGCGTAAAATTATATACTACTACTAATTGACTGAAATGAGTAGTTGTCTACCACTTACATCAATCAGAACTGATTCAGCTTTCGGAGATGAGTCGAACTGGGTATACCGATGATGAACTCGACCCGAAACGAATGAAACGACTGTTTGGTGTTTAGATCACTTCGATCTGACTACTACAGGTTGATATGAGTGGCATACAACTATTTAGTCAGTTGTATATAGTTTAACGCATAGATAAACTTTGGTTATTTTATTGATTCAAGTTTCAACTATAAATAATCCAGAGATAACAAGAACTTTTGACCCTTTTGCAAGGTTGTGTAGAGTATAGGGGCCTGGTATAACGGTTTGGAAGCCATTTATATTGTGTCATTGGAAAATTAACCTATTCATCTGGTCAGTTAAAAAGAAGATATTCGTTCAACCATGATGGTCAAATCTCAAGAGGAGACCGTTGCATCAGATATGTCAGTTATATTATTTAGGGTACGCTGTCAGTGTAAAAATATATAAAATAATGAAGCACTGAGTAAATCAAATACAAAGTAAATATTTCACTCATATAATTTAAGAATGATATGCAACACAAATATAATCCAATAAATCGAGACCAATCAGGATTAGGAAAGTGTTACTCTGAAATCAGCGTGAAGATCTATAGTACACGGTATAAGAAACCGGATCAGAATTTTCAGTACTAATGTTAAGTCACTGCTTCCATACGTATCGGAGACTTATCTCACACATCACCGAAATTATTTCCGACAGGCTACTATAAACTATCAGCAACAGATGCCTTAGCTCGATACTCGAGATCAGATGACCAGCTTGACAGGATAAGCAAAAATGAACCCCTACAACGAACCAAATAAGAACCTACTGTTCAAAAAATATGTAGAAAGGAATGGAGGTGAATTGAGTGTACGCTGAGGAAACATTTAATTGAAGTCACACGCAAAGCTCTAGAGTTGAATCCTCACGGGAAGCTTTGGGTTGGTGTCCGACGACGACATGGAGATCATATGGGGACGAAACGGAAGCTTTCGAATAATCGTGGAGTCAGTTGACAAAGATAGCAGAAAAAAGAGTCAAACAGAAATGTTCTGTTGAGATCCGATTATGGCGAACTATGAAAATACAATATTTTCCCATTTCTAAGTTTTAGAAACAAACGAGTTCTCATGGGGTGATAGGATTAGCACTTCATGAAATCCCTCAGTTAGGATGAAATAACTGTACCACGTTTCGTTTTCCTTTATATCTCTGAGTGTTTTCGGCCTGTGACCTACACGACTCTGAATTAATCAGTCCCCGACAAACTTTAAAATCAAATTATAAAAAATCCATCAGTTTCATATAACCGGTGGTTAAACCATATATTTAAAAAGTAGATATATCTTACCACAGTGACCAATATTGATACTGTAGAATTGCACACTTTCGATCTTATATCTGGACTTAAATTTAGTAAATGAGGGAAATGACTAGGTGGTTTACTGAAGTATTGATATCGTGTGATCAAACGGTCCACTAATTCCTCAGATGTCATAAATGACCGATACATAAAAAGAAATGTCTCAAAGAATAAATAATCTAAAATGGAAGAAAAAAATATTTTTTAAGTGAGAGCGTTTATGTCAATCACTAAATTCATCTTAAAATATTCTACAAATTCAAGAAGCATTAGGATTAAAAAGTTAGTAGTCTAAACTAGGTTACTAAAACTTTATTAAGACACTGGAAAAAGGTCATGTACACCCATTTAAATCCATGAATAATCCCCATCTAAGCATTAATTAAAACCAGTATGTTTAATTATATCCCTCCTTATGGAACCGCTGAAATAACTGAACACCCCGTCACCATACTACTGATGATTTAGATTCCTTATTGTTGGTGTCATCATTAATATTATTATCACTATTATTTTAATAAAAATAATAATGATAATAGAAATAATAGTGATTAAAATAATAATATTAATGACGACACCAACAATAAGGAATCTAAATCATCAGTAGTAATCTCACACAAGGAAGGAACCTCAGAAACCTTACGCAGAATTATTAACAAGGAAGGAATAAAAGTGGCTGGTATTCAAACCCACAAACTCAATTAGAGTCAAGCTTTGTCGGTTAAAGGATCCTGTGGAGCCCTGAAAACAAAACAATTTAGTTTATCTAATACACTGCCGGAATGATTATCAGGTCAAATACTAGTCAGACTAGTAGAACAGGGCAGTCAGACTAGCCGAACATAAAAACCTAGCTAAATCTAGATTAGTTGATGGGAATAAGATAAGAAATCTAGAGAATAGTTCAGCTATAGCATTACATGCAGTCACACACAACCATAAAATAGGATGGAATAGGATGACAGTTTTAAAATCTAATGTCACAGGGTATAGGGGAAGATTGATAATAAAAGCTTTGTTTATCGAATCAACTGCAAATACATGTTATAGGAATGATTCAACACCTGTCCCAGATATCTGGAAAATTCTACTACCCCAACGACGACAAATAGGAGAAGACAAAGAAAACTATAGAACTCAATTTTCAAAGTCATGTGATTACAATTGATATGATTATGAAAAATAAATTTTGTTCAAAGCGTCATTCAGTAAATGATAATTTTTCACTGTGTGATACATCTAATAAACAAACTAATATGGAATTACTTACTACCACGGTGCCCAAGTTTTACACATATATGATGAACATGTTGTTTTCGACCAGGTTTTTAAATTTTAACTCTAACACAACATATGACATTCCCTTGGTTTCTAAATACATTCTGATTACAAGTCACTGATTAAATTATTGATCTAACTATGTGGCTCTATCGCTGTTATTCACCTTCTATGTACTGACTAATACTAGCAATTATGCTTACAACAATTCATCTCTTTTGTGAAAATTCTTCACATAATTGCAATTGTAAAGCTGAAGATGAAATCGCCGAAAAGATCGTCTTAGATGGATTGATTAGTTTGTTTTTCATTAATCCATTAAAGAACAACTAGTCTAAATATAATAAATCTTCAGAATGAATGTAACAGTTGGAGGTGAACTGTAAAATTTTAGACTTATTCAAACTAAAAAAAACGGTATGCCATTTAAACAATTAGCTTTTTTTACCAGTTAGTGACATTTACCGCTTATATAAATAGCGACCTGTTGTGGTCTCGGATAATCATAGCTGGAGGAGTGATACCTTAAGATAATGCTTTCAAAACCTATTGCACTTTGTACTTCATTAACCACATACTCGGTTATATCATTTCTTATCAATATATTATTATTATTTTATACGAGAATAGTTCTGAGTTATATCCGTCATTTTTTGCATTTCTTGTTTTCCTAATTTTTTTTCAGTTGTTGCCAGACTAGAAGCTGATATTGAAGTAAAAGGCTACTAGTCGTTTCTAAATACACACCGACGAACTACAGCCTGAATGCAATTAATGCTGTCTTCTATCATTAATTTAATAGCTTTTAATACCAAGTGTGCTTGGACGATATCGAAGTGTTAAGTGCTAACTTCAATTCACGGAAAAAGCGTTGCATGTACGAGGAAAGTTATTTAGGTGGTCAATGGGGACCGGGCGTCGTAGGTCAGATGAATGTTGTGTTTCTTGACATTAGGGATGTCTTTTGTAATTTGACAGTGACTTGATTTATCAGGGATGGATGTCCTTCAGAAGTTTGTCAACAGACTGACAACCATCTACAAAATTATCTTGTCACCTATGCTCACGAATAGAAGTAGACTTGGACATAATCGCCTCATCACACCGTTTTCTTTCACCTGACATCCGTGAGTTTCTAAGGATATCTGTGCAAAATGTGAGTGGTGAAGATACAGATCTCAACTGAGAAAATTTAGAGTGCACAAACAATATAGTCGTACAGTTTAGTTACCATCAGGGTACCCAAACCAGTGCCTGTATGCATTTCTCATGGTCTAAGTGCAAAGTGATATTTCAATATTGTCAGAAGTCTGTGACTTCAACCCAATAGCTGCAGACATTATGATGTTTGGCTCAGAATCGATATCAACAGTAAAGATGCTGCAGTTTCCTCCTTTATCCTCCTGAAAAAAATTTCAAGCAATAAATGCTTATCTCCTTTCATTTTATTATCTCTCTAAATATCTTATTTCTCTTATACTTTAATTGTTGCTTTATATATTTTGTGTGGCGACTGTCTTAGTGTTTAAGTGGTACACGGAGTTTTTCTCCTAATCTTAAGACCAAATAATGCTTAAAAAATAGAAGAAAGTAGAGGACGATAAAGAATAAGACATTCTATGAAAGATGCTTTTATTATTATCATCATCATCAATAAACTGAACATTTGCAAATTAATTCCTTTCACATGAAATTAACTAAAAACATGAATGACTTACACGATGGTAACATACGCCCATAAGACGTCATATATACAGTCAAAGCATCAGCACATCCAGCGTGTACAGAGATATCATTTACCTTTAACGAAATAACAAATTATACTAATTAAACAATAATAGTAACAATTGAGACATTATGAAGAAGCACAACATCGCACAAATGAAAAATCAAATGATAAAGAAAAGAAAGATACATTCAAGTTTAAAATAAAAATAAAATAACATACAGAAACATGTAACAAAGTGTTTGAAGTTATTGTGTAGGCGTCGACCAATAAAATGATTTGGAATACAGGAGTTAGCATGAAAAAAAGGCCAATTTATTTGACCACAAAGAAAAGCATTTGATATATAACAAAAAATAGAAGTTAACGAAAGCTGAAGCACTCAGTCTTTTAGTGTCCATTTTTTTATTCTGATATATGTGTTAACTAACAATAGCCCAAGCCACAGAAGCTTCCTTGATTTGGCAGCGGGGGCATAAATATCGCAATGGATCATTCAGGTAAACAAGATGGGCAGAATGTTCCTTGAAATCTAACCATGCCGCAAAGGTCGGTTTTATGGAGGTTAGACTAAAAAAACCACCTGCATAGTGTACGTTGGTGGGTGTGTAACAGCAGAAGGCAAAACACGCAAGCCAAGGTATATTTCACAGTGAACAAACCGCTATATTTTTTTCTTACAGCTTGACTTCACACCGTATTTTTTGGTACAGGTATGGAATTTTTAGCATGTGATATTGGTAGCCCAAATTTTACAGGCCGACCATAGAGATCAGGTGTTCGTCGGCAGGGGATCGAATCCCGGACCATGGTCGGTGAGAGTCCTAACCACTGTGCTACCGACATGTATATATTCTCTAACCAATCATTGAGTGTATGATTTCGTCTTACACATTAAACGACATGAAATAAAGTGTTCAAATACGTAGTATTATGTTACTAACTAGGTACTAAACTGTAGAAATACTATTCTGACTTTAGCAACAAACAGAATGTTCAGATAGATATATCGTATTCTGTTGCTAATGCTGTATTGAAATGTGGAAATATGTGAGAATAATATTCCATTGGAACACATTATATGTATCACGCCACCATAGGGGTGTGATGGCGAAATCGTACGATAGGTAAATAGGGGTGCAGAAGCAGCAAGCTGCTTTCCTTGGGCGACAAGTAAGCTAGTCACGTCACCTTCTCTCCCTCTCTCTAGGTAGACGCTAGAAATGGCCAGCTCCGAAAATTGTACAAACCACCTTATGCTACGACGTTTAACAACAAGGAAAAGGATTTTATATACGGATGAGATTCCACAAACTCAACCTGTAAACAGGTTGCGTATGATAGGCCTCAAGCAGTTGTCCCTTGGACTCTGAGGTCACGCAATGTTGTGTTTCCTTCTTTCATGTATTCCAATAGGTTGTCGATTTTCGCAGTCTGGGAAGCCTGGAAGAAGGACCTATCCACATAATTCCACTAGCACACGAAGTCATGTTTAGCATTTGTCTTTTTCGCCTTATTGTTGGCTTTGTGACCATTGCTGGAAAGCAAAACCAAAGAAGAACTGTTACTCGCAAACCGTTGTTGGAATTTTCGAAGCGCAGATCTTATACTGGTTCACACTACAAGATACAGTAGTCAAGACTTTGACATCTCGGCTTTTAGATGTACACTGTGTTACTGACAGGTGCCGATAGGACCCCAGTGTTGTTACTCACTTAACCCCACCTGTCCAACATGATCGACCTACAAAATTCATCCTGCTAGCGTCAGGAGATTAATTTAGCTAGTACTGAGTACCTACATGATATTCAGCTTGCTGCAGAAATGAGTAGTGAATAATGTTAATAGCACAATTCAAACTGCTACCTTGAAGAAAAACGACCCAAGCAATGGGAAAGAATTTGAGTTTCGAAGAGAGCATACTAATAACATCTTCACTCTTCGATAGATTCTGAAGCACAAAAATAATTCCTGTTGCCTTATTTTCGAACTGAAGGTGGTACTTGACCTCGTCGATCGTAGTGTAATATCCGGCCGTTAAGGATGTGCTGAGAAAGTGTGGTTTCCAAGTCAAGACAAAATCTGAACTCAAACAACTTTGACAGAGCTTATGGAGGGATGTCATGTAAATGACAACAGTCAGCGATGTCCTTCAGAGATAACCACTGCCATAGGTCCTAGTGGTCTAAAGAATGTCAGTGACAGAATTATTTCCAATTATTACTGCAGTCTTCTAAGCACTCCGAAGAAAATTTTAAGTATATTCGATATGTGACTCGACCGTGCATAGACTTTGAGTAGCACAATACTATATCATTTTGGTTACAGGATTTCATCATGGGCTGACACTGGTTAGAGAACCATTGGAAAACCCGCAGTGGAGTACTGGACATCTGTTTCATCCTAGTTTGGGACTCTTCATCAGTACGAACCGACTGGGGTTCGAACCCAGGACCTTCTGGTTACTCGCCAAAGACATTGGCTAGCGGTCACTCTATGTTGTGAATTGGCAGAGATTAGAATTCATGCGCCATTGGAACGGGTCCCAGTCACTTAATGGTTAGTCTATGAGCTCGCCCGCCTTGTAACCAGAAGGTCTTGAGTTCGAACCCCGGTGGGTTTGCACTGCTGAATAGTCTCAAACTAGGACGAAACAGCTGTCTAGTACTCCACTGCAAGTTTTCCAATGGTTCTCCAACCAATGTCAGCTTATGATGAAATCCTGTAACCAATCAGTCAAATCCCTGCAAACCAACGCTTGACTCCATCATTTTATTTAGTCTTGTTCAAGTTCATTAAAGAAAAAAACTGTGTTTAGCTTAAGGAAAGATGGTGAAACAGTTGAATGTGTTGATCACTTTACACATTTGGTTACTGACAAAATCTAAGGATGGATACAAAGGGCTCGTTTGATACTGAGTCAACACTGGAGCATGCGTAATACCCAGCTATCATACAGAGGGCATGTATAATGTATAACAACTTGTGCCAACCTACTCTGTGGCCATGAACCATTGTCGATAAAGGTGGAAGATATGAAAAGATCAGTGCTACTAGGGTAACAACAGAAGACAAGGGCCAGGAAATAGATCGTTTATTTAAGAAATCAACACATATTTATAGATTCTCATGTACATTATTATAGATTATTGTAAGCAAACAAACACAGTCTTTTGATTGGTGAACTTTCGTTGAACGTTAATTTCTCATCTGTTTGTGGCCGTTTCTAGAAGTTCAGGTTATCTATCTGCAAATTGTACCCGCCTACGCAAAGTCTGCTGTGATTGGTTGTTGAGTCAGTCTTTGTTCTTATTTTTCTCATGACCAATATCGGGACATAAACATTGACGTAAATTACTGTCTACCAATTTGGCTAGCAGCCAGCTCTCATCACACTAGGGACTATATCTGCCTCCGTTCAGTCTGTCGTATTAGGTGAATCAATATGGTCAGTAACAATGAGGTTAGGCGTGGTGTTCAGTGATACGGAAAATCAACTGAAGAAATTGTGAGGATCAGTCTATTTAGACGGTCAAGGTATTGCCCTCCTCAACGAGCTATGCTACCTGAATAAGACTAGGGTGGAAAATCGTTGGAGATAGTCAAAGAAGAAGACCTTTGAAATGTAGACTGCTTGGACCAAGACTGTCAGTGAACTGTCTTGAGATTGTTCGCAATAGTGCAGGTGCATTCACTTCAGGAATTTCAGTTACTGAAAATATTCATTAATCTTCATATAATTGTCTCCTGTCTTGTGCAAATCTGTCCTATCGGTAAGCCATACACCGTTTAAAAAAGTGCTGCAACACTGATATTTGAATCGTAGTAATTTCAAATTGCTAACAAACTAAATGCTGCAAATTGTATTTCATATATTTTCCATTATTATCATTCATACTTCTGGTGAGCATCACCAAGTAAGTATATTAAGTCATCTTCTAGATGATCCTGTTGACTGAATTGTGACATTCTATAAAAGAATAAAATAAATTACAGTCTCGTGTTACTTGGCTAGGTAGACACTTTACACACTTGACCTTTACTCGATGACACGTACACTAACATTTGGATTGTTTTGCCATCGGACGAGTGATTCATACACGTAATCTACTACAGCAAAGAATTAGTTACTAGTGGCAAAGTAATCAAAAAGTGCCCGAATACAGAATGTGGCCATACGGATTGCAATATTCGATTCGAGTGGGAGTTTTTTTGTATAGACGAGAACGGGATCACAAAATCGAAGTTGCCGTTCACATTACTGATTTTAAAATTTATGAATGATAACAGAAATAAAAATTACTGATAATACTAAGAAATAGGCGGATGTATTGCTTACTAAATTTCGGTCACCCCACACCAAGTATTCGTTCGCTTCGACAAGACTAAGAATAGGTACCCGATGAGTAGTTTCAATAACAGGTGGAGGTAAATAGATCTCTTTTTCTAACTGTTGTGGTGAGATATCATCTTCATCGTCCGGCTCTTGACTAACAATACTGTAAAAAAGTTTAAACAGCACTGATAAGTAACTTTACTCAAAAAGCATATATAAGATAAGCTGAGATGAAACGATCACTCCAAGGTTGCAGATCAGATCAGCGAATTCTAGTACACATACACATAATTACCTAAAATAAGTGTATACTATATTACTGTCAGTTATATTTCTACTTAGCACGAGGTGACTGTAGTGAGGACAGGCAGTCATAGTTGATTATTAAAATGAATTAACAGTAAGCTCAATAAATGATCTAAAGTGGGAAGGACTAACATATATGAGAAATGTGGGCAAAATAAATGTGCTAAGTAGAAGCTGAAACAACCGAAAATATTTTAGTTCCATATTATTTTGTAATAGTATGTATGTCACAGTGTGCAGGCGTATTATTTATTGGATGACATTTCGTAATCATATCAGTATTAACTACACAATTTAAAAACTTGATCTTTTAGTCCTTTCTTCCTTCCCGATATCCACATTACCTTTCTGCATTAGATTTCTAGAAAATCACCACGCCCCATTCTATTGTAAGGTTGTGAGTAACTGCATGTAGTGCTAAAGATGAGCTTGATTTCAGATCTATTATCTCAATAGGGACGACCATGCTAGATTTTGCTCTCTGTTAATCTGATTACCCGTGGCTGATAGGATAGTTTGACACCATGATTTGTTTCGAAGCGACCAGTGATGACGAACAAACAAAGAAAGCCTTGAAACATCGTAGGGGAGTGAGTACATTTGTCGCATAGTGGGCTATTTTGTGAGCTATATCTTAGAAAGCCAAGGAACAAAATCTTTACTTACACACACGCGTCAAATTAACAACCAATAATCCTATGTCTGATTTAGATATGACAACTCCCTACAATCGCATATGACCGCATTGACATCCAGCAAATAATGCGTTTAAATAAATGGTCTACCACTTCAGGCAACGAAGGCCTTGATGCAATGGGAGGCGATCTCGTCCAGGATAATGACCGCCAGATTCAACTCCAAAGGAAGGAAAGTGTCAATTATACAATGTTATGCACCCACAAACAACGCAGACCTCGAAAAGAAAGAAGAATTCTACAGACAACTACAGGCAACAATGGACAATACCCCAGCTGGTGACATTAAAATACTAATGGGAGACATGAACGCCAAACTGGGACCAGACAACACAGGAAGGGAACTCATCATGGGTAGAGAAGCTCTCGGAGAAATGAATGAAAATGGAGAACTCTTCGCCGACTTCTGCGCCTTCAACGAACTAGTGATTGGTGGCAGTGTATACAAGCACAAAGATATCCACAAGGCTACATGGGTGTCACCAGATGGGCGAACCAAAAACCAAATTGACTTCATCTCAATCTCAAGGAAGTGGAGGCGCAGCCTACTGGACACAAAAACAAGAAGAGGAGCAGACGTTGGCTCAGACCACTATCTCGTACAAGGGACAATCCAAATCAAATTAAAAGCTTTCAGGGAAACAGGAGCTGCAGATAGACCACAAGCCAAGTTCAACACTCAAAAGCTGAAGGACCAGGCTACAAAGGACATCTTCATTGCAAACATAAGGGAAAAAGCCGAGACACAAATCAACACTAGCGAAGAGGTCGGTGTCGAAAAGCACTGGGACAACTTGAAAACGGTGTGGAGCCAAACCTGCATGGAAGTTCTAGGCAGAAAGAAGAGGCAGGACAAACAGTGGCTCACTACGGACACTTGGAAACTAATAGAAGAGAGAAGGATAGTGAAACAAAAGATTATCCAGTGCACTGACGAGCAACAAAAACAGGAGTTGAATGCAAGCTACAATACACTGAACAAAAGAGTGAAGAAGAGTGCCAGGGAAGACAAAAGAAAATATTATGAAACCATGGCAAGTGAAGCAGAACAAGCTGCAGGCAAAGGAGACCTCGCCACACTCTACCAAACAACTAGGAACCTATCGGGCAAAAGTTCGACACAGATTAAGCCAGTCAAGGATGACAATGGAAAGTCAATCACCAAAGAGGTGGAGCAGAGAAAGCACTGGGCTGAACACTTCAAAAGACTTCTAAATCGTCCGCCACCTACAACGCGCCCAACAATACCAACAACGGAAGCAGAACTACCAGTGAACATTGACCCTACGACGAAATCAGAAGTCCTGAATGCAATCAAGATGCTAAAAGCTGGAAAAGCAGCTGGACCAGATGGAATCCCAGCAGAAGCTTTGAAAATAGACCCAGAGACAACAGCGGACTTGATGACGCCACTGCTGGAGAAGGTGTGGAAAGAGGGCAAAGTACCTGAGGATTGGAAGAAAGGATACTTATTCAAACTACCAAAGAAAGGAGACTTAAGTCAATGTAAAAACTGGCGTGGAATTATGCTTCTGTCCATTCCAAGCAAAATACTAAGCCGCATCATCCTGGAGAGAATCAAACAAGCCCTAGATGAAAAACTTCGACCGGAACAACCTGGATTCAGGAGAAACAAATCATGTATTGATCAAATCGCCACACTACGGATCATCATTGAACAAAGCTTGGAATGGCAGTCACCTCTCTATCTCAACTTCATCGACTTTGAAAAGGCCTTCGACAGCGTCGATCGAGAGGTGATTTGGCAACTACTTCGCTACTACGGGGTCCCATCGACAATTATACATCTCATCCAACAGTTATACGACAATGCTGCATGCCAAGTAATCCACAACGGGAAACTTACGGAAGCCTTCGAAGTGAGGACGGGAGTGAGGCAAGGCTGTCTACTATCGCCAATGATCTTCCTGATTGCAGTAGATTGGATAATGCGACAGACAACGGCAACCAACGAGGGAACAGGCATAAAATGGACTCACACAAAAGACTTGGAGGATCTGGACTTCGCCGATGATATATGTCTGATTTCCCACAAACTGGAAGATATGCAAGTGAAAAGCAACAAGTTGGCAGAAGAAGCATCAAAGATAGGACTTCAAGTGAACATAGATAAAAGAGAGGTGATGAAGATTCCTGGCCAACATCAACAGCAACAACAACAGACAACAATCATCTAGCATAAATGGGAGGAACCTGAAAGAAACAACCTCCTTCACCTACTACCTGGGAAGCATCTTTCCAACTACAGGCGGAACTGACGAGGATATCAAAGCCAGAATCGAGAAAGCAAGACAAGCTTTCATTACTCTCTAGTCTGTGTGGAGGTCAACAGCACTCAGCATCAAGAATAACCTCCGGATTTTCAACTCCAATGTGAAGTCAGTGCTACTCACTATATAACAACAGAAGACAAGGGCCAGGCAACAGATCGTTTTATTACGAAAATCAACACGTATTTATATATATTTCACATTCATTATTATAGCTTATGCAAGTAGACAAGCGCAGTCTTCTGATTGGTTATTTATCAGAGGTTAAGCAGACAAACGCAGGCTTCTGATTGGTTGTTTCAGGATTCCTCGAAAAATGGAGTTCTCTATCTGCGAATCATATTTTGCCACGTTAAGTCTGCTGTGATTGGTTGTTGAATCAGCCTTGTACATATTTTCTCACGGCCTGCTCTCACCACAACTATACGGATCAGAGACTTGACGCGCCGTAAAGAGCACCCCAAACAAACTTCAGACGTTCATTAACAGTTGTCTTCGCTCAATACTCAAGATCAGATGGACGGCCAGAAAAGATCACCAACGGGGAGGGATCTCTGGCAATGAGCGAACCAACCAGGAACCGATTGTGAAACAAATAGGCCAGAAAAAATGGAGATGGATTGGCCATACACTGAGGAAACCATCAAGTGACATCACTAGACAAGCCATTTCTCGAGTGGAACCCGAAAGGGAAGTGGCAACTTGGTCGTCAGTGCAAGGGTGGGGAGACTTGGAGGAGGTCATGTGAAGAGGAGATGAAAGCGTGTGAGGAGACTTGGAGCGGAGGGAAAAGTTGGCAGAAAACAGAAGGCAATAGAGACGCGCGGCTGAAGCCCTATGTTCCTCTAAGAATTAAAGGATGTAATAAATACAACTTCAGGAATAGAGCTTTATAACGGAAGAATAACACATTTTGACTAACATCAGGCTGGTTAATTTTTTGCCTTTCCTGGTAAGGTGTATGTCGAATAGTGAGCAGTGAAATTTTACTCTTAAATTACCAAAGTTTATGGATGGTAGACCAATCACTAATGATTCGAATTCACATTTGTTCGCAACTTTACTCCTATATGTGACAAGGTACAAGTAAATTATTCAGTAAAACAATGATTTATCGCAAAGTGCTAAATCAAATACATGTTTATGCCAAGAATAAAGCAACTTACGTGATTTTCGACTCACGATCATCATATGGAGATAGATCAAGAGATAATTTGACTTGTTGTTGTGGCACTTCTGTCTCTTCAAGTAGAGATGTTTTATCTACGAGTAAAGTGTCACTGAATTATTGAAAAAAATATACAACATACCTTCGTTAGACGGTGACGTGAGTGAACTACAGGATGCTATATCCGATACTTCATCATCAGACAGTTTCATTCCAGCATTATGATCAGCCTAAATTCGAGAAGAAAATAATGAATGATTTAGATTCTATCCGTTATCTTTCATTTATGAACACAGTTACTATTGATTGATGGTTAGTTGAGCAATCAGATTGATGAACATGACTTATAAACAATATGAAATCGACCCGACAGCCTATATATATATATGAGAACGAATAAGCGGGGTGCACTAAGTCAGTAGTGCGTAGTATATGAGAAAAGTATATACCCGAGTAAACAAAAATACAGAAATTTGCATTTGTTCATTTCATATCAACTGACTAATCTCAAGATTACCATTAAATGCAAAAAAGTCAACCGAAACATGATAACAGAGTAAGGATGATCAGACACAACCTAAAAAATGGGAATATAGACACGACCTCCATCTTTAAACCATAATATTACTGTTGTGTAAAACAATTTCATCTCCATCCTTAGAGGTCTTAACCTTTAAAAAGATGCGCATAAGTCATACGCCTCCATAAATACTGAAGAAATTAGAATATTGAATGCAGTTTCATTTATCCTACGTTGAGCATAATTAACGTCAGTACACTGTATACAGTAGTAGACAGGATTAAAATTATCCTTTATCTGCTTACTTGACCGTTGAGGTAGTTACGAGGTCTAGTGGCAAAATAAATTACACCATTTTAAGTTTGATCATAGAGACCACCTATAAAATGCGTAAGAGAACTCCATCGCTACTGAAATCCCAATAAAAGTATCAGTAGTCAAATATATCAGAGCCACAACAGATTGACAACCCCAATCCCCAGGTATTTTCAACACAAAAAGGCGAAAGGAAATGATGATGGAAAGCTTCTACAACATATTTTAAACTGTGAAGCTAAATCATCATATCAACTAAATTGACGTTAACAATAACATCCGTGGATATCGTTTTCTTCCCGGATACATTAGCATCACCTATTGAATCGACGAACTCAAACGAATTAGAAGCACTATGTTTGCAGAGGTTATTTCTGATAGGTAGGAGGATGTCTGTGAGCCACTTGGCAGTAGCATGATTTGGGGAATTTGTCATCTTCAAGATTGGAAGTAGTGGCACGTTGTCTTTGTGCACTTTCGGTAGACCATATAAACGGGGAATCACGGAACCTGAGGGGTGTATTTGCCCGAATAACTCAGAGCTGATAATCGATTCGTTCTCCATCTTCTTCAGCATTTGTGTTAGCTTTACTTCAATTTGTTCCGTTTGGTATTTCAAACTGGGCAAATTTGACCATAGTAACATAGTTTAACACCTCCATGACGTCTAGTGAATTTCAATAGGTAGTTGTTATCTAACAATATTTAACTGAGGTGTTGTGTTTTTTCTTCAATGGTGTCGGCTGTACATTTATGGTGGATACATCTGAACAAACACCTAATCAACGCCTTTTTATACTGTAGTGGACAGAAACTGATAATTTAGATAGTGGCCCATCCATGTGGACTTTCTGCAGACAGACCGTTTTATTGATCCACCTTGTCGGCGCTTTATGATTACATCTAAAAATGGCAGGCAACCATTGTTCTCTTTAAAGTATGTTAGCGATACGCTGTGTTGTACTGCATTGATCTGGTTAAGGATTTCTATGGCGTTTGTCAGTTCATCACAAATGATTATTATGTCGTCCACGTATCTCTTATAAAATTAAACTTTTAAAACGGCGTCCTCAGTTAGGTTCTCAACATGCGACACGAATATATCAGCCAACAATGGACCTAGTGGACTCGCTATAGCAACACCATCGATCTGGCGGAAATGTTCGCCCTCAAATGTAAACTTGATATTGTTAGTATATAAAAGCAGTAACTCTTTTAAATAAGACACACTAGTAATAATAAATTGTTGTTAGAGGTTTAGTCACATAAAATGTCAAATGTCTGTAACAGAGGTACATTTGTAAATAAAGAATCAACGTTTAAGGAAAGCGTGATTTCGTCCTTTATATCAACGTTATGAAGACACTGTTCAAACTATATAAGAAACGTAAGTATGAATTACTTTTCTGAACAAAGCCTAAGATGTATCAGGGTACTTAAGATATAGACTCAAATATGAACTATAAGAAGTATAATACATGACAGATTAGAGTTAAGTAGAACTAAGTTTCATAACTGAAACACAGTATAATCTCCACTTCCAGTTAATGATACTTAATACTGACTTAATACTGAGGGTGTAAATTGTATATGATGAAAGGTTTGACAATTCAGCTGCTCATATAAACATCTTCTACAAATTCTTCCACCTACTTATGGAAACTTCGTCATCATTACATTGGAACTTGTAAGCGTGTTCTCCGTAAACGCGTAGCTGAACCCTACCGGGTTTGGCTAATGTAAGGTGAGCATAGGACGTCGAAGTCTTCAGTTTGTTGACGCATTCTAGAGTCACGTCATTAAGTCTCACATGATTTATCCTTCAAAGTTACTTACAGGACCAAATCCAACCACTCCAAAAGAGCTTACACCTTCGCCATTTATTCATAGCAGAAGCTCTAGCTATGCAGGGAGAGAAACCGAAATTATGTTTTTTCAAAACCGTTTTCTTAAATCCCTTTTTTCTTAACTTGGTCATAGTTATGTTGTTTTCTTTTCTTTTTATTTCACCACTTGAATTCATTCCAACTCACTTCATCTTTGAAGTCTTTATTGTTATTACCATCGTACTGCTGATTTTTTAGACAACACTTGACCTACAATTTCAAAATCTCTATACCAGTTTACTTATTTAACAATCTTTAAAAGTTTCGTAATTCATCCACTTCATGTCTACCAGTCTAATACATCATTTTAACTATCTTTATTCTCATCATATGTATATTGACTGAGCGATTTCTAATGCCACTTAATGCCTTTTTTCATAATATAAAAATACGACTGTACAGCTTGAAAATGAAGCCATTGAAAAGAAAAATTTCTTCACTGAACAAAAACTGAATTTTTTTTATGAACTAACGAGTATGTTTCGCGATCATTTATTCTGTTAATGAACTTTTATTTTCTGTGAGAGTTACGCATATTCACTTTGTGACTCATGGGAATAATTATTTTTACTCTAATTCACTGATTCGTGGATTTATGGTTAAACTATTACAAAAGTTTCGATTTTAGACTAAACGATTACTGTATAGAAGCTTTCGTTTGCACTAGTGTTGAGTATCGTTGTAAAACAGTACCTATGATACACAGTATAACATAACTAAACCATACGAGTACTTTTGCTTACAACACACCTTTGAAGGGTTAGTAGGACAGAGTGAGTTATTTGTCAGTGTCGTGTCTAAACCACAATATTCTAAATAGGAGATAAGAAGACACGTAATTGTTTTATTTTGAAACTAGTGGACGCATTATGTTGAAAATAAGTAGAAAATGATCGAGAAGTAGGCATATAAAAGAGGACTCAGTTACAGAAATAAAATTGATTAATAATATGATACAGTTGTCTTAAATCTGGCAAATCCATGGATCACAGACACTTCATACACCAAACTCTATCATGGTAAGAAATTCTTATGATCGTTAAACAGTTCAAGTAAACATCATTCTACTCGACTACAGTATCCGAAAGTATTCCATGAAGTAAGGACAAAGTATATCTTGATCTAAACTATCCTCAACTACAGAAACTCGAGAATGCACCCAATAAAGTTGGTCAGTTAGGTATGAAAGCCCAGTACATTCTTTATTTTTCAAGTGTTTGTGAAGAATGTCTGTCTGTTTTCGAAATAGAACTTTGCACATATGTACGGCAGTTCAAGTCGCCACACTCCATGTAGCATAAAAAGCAAGAGAAGAAAGTAGAAGAAATGCATAATAGAGACAGTAAACAGAGGTGTGATACAAAGGAATAGTAATAACGAAGAACAATAGAGTTTCATTGGAAATCATAAGTCACAAGGAGTGGATACATCTACGCCATTGCGAACGATTTTGAGCCATATCACCAACTGAAGAAGAAAACACAATCTTTTCCACATACTCTGTCAGTTATTTCTTCGGTTTATTCCTAAAGCAAATTCGATTAGTTCAACTTCAAATTTACAAACAATGTTAAGAAATCCAACCATAAAACACGAACATAGTTATCGGAAATTTACTAACATATCCAACCAAATATGACGTCTATTAGTATGTGTCTTTAAGAAGTTATACGATGATACACAGACATATATATATATACGAGTTGATCACGGCTTGATATCAGTTGGAGAACTATTGAAAACCAGGGAGTACTGGACAGCTGCTGTTTCATCCTAGTTTGGGAATCATCGGCAGTATGCAACCATTTGTATTCGAACCCAGGACCTTCCGGTTACAAGGCGAGCTCGTATACCATTTAGCCACTGAGACCCGATTCAATGGCCGATGATTCCCAAACTAGGATGAAACAGCAACTGTCCAGTACTCCAGTGGTGGTTTTCAATGGTTCTCCAACTCATATCAATCCGTGATCAATTCGCAAAAACATGACTAACCCTTAAAAATCAAACTATAGAAAATATCCATATATTCCATTTCAGTACTATACACATATACTTTTTTTACTTACCAAGATTTCGAAGAAGTTAGATCACACGTGTCGGTAAACTCCTCATCAAAAAATGCAAGTTGAAGCCATATTGTACTATAACTACCCACACTGATAGGTAGTACTGTTGTGCTTACCTTTATATACATACATAAGTTTGTGACATTTGTACAAGTGTCATTTTGGTGAACAATGAATCACATTATATCACTATGATGTTTTAATCGTTATACATAATAAACAGTTATAGACCACTGACCACTGTTTACCAAATGACAACCGAAACGGGTACGTTGTATAGACATGGGTATAAATCGTATACGTTAGATACAAGTGATTAACATATACGATTAAAACATACATGTGTGTGCCAGAAACATATATAAATATATCAAAGGAATATTGATTCATTACTATATAACACTAACTACTCAGTACAGATTACTTTTTTTGGCGTATAT